TTTTAGTTTAAAAAGAACACCCGACAAGTCTGTTAACCAGATATTGAGTTAATGAGTATTTATTCGGTATTCCGGGCATTCCAGCTGATCAGAATAGAATAATCTGAGGTGACGATACCAACAGGAATAATCTTACCCCAGCATATATATAGGTCTCACTTCATCTGACATCTCGCATACATTGCTAAATACCAAATGGATACACCAGATACATTAATCCATTTATACACCTCAAGTTATATAAATTTTATATCAGTAATTATCACGATATTGAATTTTTGAAGCACGATAATTCTAATTATCGCGATAATTTACTCCAGACGATAATCCATGATATCGCGATAATTTATTTTACCAATATCATTAGATATCACGATATTTTTTTTCTGTATCGTTGCAACCTTAGTTGAGACCGGAACTGTCCATGGCTTGAACGCAAATAGTGTAAAAGTATGTAATAAGAAGGTTGTGTAGCCTCTAGAGGTCACATGGTACACCATAACTCTCCTTCTAATTGAGCTAGAATGTGCAAACGTGGTGTAGGTGTTTAACAGGTGAATCCATTGATGAAGTTCAAAGACGAGCATTTTCTGCTCAGGGTAGGCAGAGCAATAAGCAATATGACTGGTCGAAACTTTGGAGCTCGGTTACTTTGATTCTAATTGAATGAGAGTGGTGAAACTTTGTGTATAGTTTCATTACATCAATACCTTGAATACGTTTGATGATAATGCGAAAAAAACAAAATCTAGCGTAGAGAGGCCATTTTGTTCAAGGAAAAAAATCACATTGCACCGTTGTAATAAATTTGACTTGTCTTGTTTTAAATACCAATCGAGCAGATCCTATCTGCCTGTTTGAAATACACGCTCACTTGTTTTTGTCCAATTGTGAGCAAAACATGTGGGGGTTATAGCTTTTAAGAATGTGCAGCATCTATGCGAAACCTGTAGTCTCAATTTTCACGTCAGTTAGCTATCTCGTGTCAACAGTATGGGAGTTTTTAATAATAGTATGCTGTACCTGCCTATTCAGATCAGTAATCGAGACTCAAAGATGACATTTATATTCATTTATAATAACAAAAATTATAGACATTTTACCGAATTCACTATCAGTTCTGAGTCAACATAAGGGCTCTGAATTCAGTTACTGATATGATTGACATAAGCACACTTGCAACTGACCGCAACTAGTTGCTTTGAGTTGCAAAGTCGACATAAGCCCCCTATTCAATAGCCTTGGCCAGTTTTAAAACTGAGCCTTTGTCAGCATGTGTATGACAGACTAAATTATAATGGTAAATCTTGAATAACTGATTTTGATTGACAGTGAGAGGATGAGCCCTCTGATTTTCCCTGTTCTCTGTCCATCTATTGCAAAATGTGGGTGTATCTTGTGACAGATCTTTTCCAATTTAGTGTGAAGCATTGTTTTTCAGCTTTTTTGATTTTTCCGTTTTGGAAATTGCATTGCATTCAGGGCTAGAAATTCGTCATTTTTTGCGAGAATCTAAGAGGATTCTCATATATGGAATCTGCGCGAATCCTCCGACTCTTAATTAATAATACTGTCTAAAAAACAAAATTGTGTTTATTGTGATAATCTAAAACAATGATAAAAAAACCCAATCAGGTGGGATTTTGGTAAACACTTAAATTGTGTCAAAAGTAATATCCAGAAAATGCAGTAGTCAAATTAAGCTGATACAGCACCATGGCATTTCTTCATAGCACAATTTGTAGTCTTTTGTCCATCACGTAACTAGTCACGTAACTTGCAAAGGTTTTTATTCATTCGTCGATGATAGACAAACCGCACAATAATCACGTGACAACCATAACTGAAAATGCTATAAAATAAACTTCTGTACGACTATGATATAGCCTTCAATAATATTTTTAAAATAAAGTCTCTGTCAGCATTTATATGAAATAAAAAATCATAACGGTAAACGCTATTTAGAACTGGTTTATTGACCTAATTCCAATCGGTATGTCACTTGTCATTGGAATTCAACATTCAAGATTCTGTTGGGAAAATATCCACTGTTTCTCTCTCCGTGTATTCGGTATTCTATCAGGGAATTATATTCAATGAAGATTTAAATTTACCTAACAACTGGTCAGTGAATCCATCAATGTATGATCCAGTTATTATTTTAATATCTACCGAAACCTGGAATTCACACGGACGGAGCGCTGAAGATGCGCGATTTGCAAACCATGCTGAGATCATCTTCATTCACCACGTGGCGTATTTTACTGAACCTAGTATGAATTATCAGTTAGCTTGTTTTGTTTTTTTACCGGATTATCAAAATCACCGTATTCGCACTAAGGTATGACTGTTGTTGTAGCCGACACTTCTTCATTAACAAGTAATAATTAACACGTTGTAATATAAGCCAAAAGTAGATTGATTTATCATACCATGTGGCCGATTCATTGTTTTACCAATTGGTTAGATTAAACATCAAACGGCTAAATACCACAAAATACAGCCGATTAAGAAAACTGACCCTGGCTGACATTCAACAATTGGACTTGACAATTCTCCGAGATTTTTTTTTTTTTTTTTTTAAGAAAAATATTACGCGAAATTTCTAGCCCTGTGCATTGACATTGCATTTTTTCATTAACGTAATAGACAATAGTTTAAAGAATCTTTTTTAAAGAGTTAGGTTGATGAGAGGATGAATCATTGCTTGTGGACACTCTAGAGGCTAAAGGTTTAAGGTCATGAGACAAAGAAGCCCAGTGATTTTCAATGATTTCCGATAAATTTTTTTTTTTTTTTAAACTTTATTATAATAATTCAAAAACATTTCGTGATACATAAATTAAATATGTCTAAAAATACATGTGTAGACAATTACTGTTCAAAAAAAGTAGGGGATATTGAAATGCAAATACCTATGCAGGTTGTGATATGATAAATACATGTAGTAATGGACACTTGACATGCTTTGAGAGTATGTTCACAGATGAAGAACTTATCTCCCCAACAGAACCACTGAGCTGCACATGCGACACGCAATAGCGCCATACACATGGGAGAGGTTCATTGTCAAATTTGACACTTCAAGGAAGGGTTGATGAAAACTGCTGTGTGCTGGTTTATCCTATCCATGTTTGCTTTCCTATCGGTTCATGCATAAGATTTACTGTTTAGTGTATCTTTGCTTTAGTGTGTTTACGTTTAATTTGCAATGAGACGTCTTCAACACGATGAACTTTAATGTGCTTTTGGCATGCTTCAACTGGGTTCTACACAGCGAGCAGTAGCCAACATGCTTAATGTGTCACAGTCTGTGATCAGCAGACTGTGGAACCGGTACCAACAAACACACAATGCTGATGATAGAGCCACTACACAAGCCCAAGATCGATACATTCGTACACAGGTCCTGCGAAATCGAGGACAAACGGCCAATCAGCTTCCTGTAAACTTGTACCAAGTTACAGGAATTCGAGTTACACCCCAAACGATTAGAAATCGGCCACATGCAGCCCATTAGCATGCGCGGCAACCGCGTGTTGTGCCTCCATTAACTCGCCAGCACATGGCAAGCATGCGTCAATGGTGTAGGCAGCGTAGAAATTGGGGTAATCGTCAATGGGCGCGTGTAATGTTCTGAGATGAGTCCAGATTTACTCTGGATTTCACCGATAGGCGTGCTCGCGTTTGGAGGCGTGTAAGGTCTTGAGACGAACAAGTATCTTGATTTTCAATGAATTTTGATAACTTGAACAGCTAAATCCATGACATTAAATGTTTCGTATACTAAATGTTAGCATGGGGCAGAACTAAAAGTCGAACAATTTCTAATGATTTTCGAATAATTATTTAAGGAGTTGTTACTCTTTATCAGATTTTAGTGTATTATAAATGTTTCATTACCGACAATAGAAAAAATATACAACAACTCTTGTTGACTGCTCGGACGACTTAGCTGCTGTGGGCGTATGTTTCGTTGCCTGGCAACATATCTTTCTTTCTACATTTTACAACACAAATGTTCATTTTAGGTGTCGGTCAGTTTTTGGTTGTACTTATCCAGACATAATAAATGCATGGAAATATTGGTCATGCATCTGGAAAACGTGTCTTCACTCTTCACTCTAAATGCTTAGTCTGATCGTAATACTCATGATTTTTGATTTTAAATAACTTTTTTTACAATGATCAAAACAATGTTCAAAGTTTGACATATATTGCGTAATTCATCGAAAGCTGTCGCTTTGTAAAACTGAAAATTAGACATCACATGCTTACCGTGGTCTCGTATTCATTGCAACTTCTGCACGATACAATATAATTAAATACTATTGTGAATGTTCAGAACTGAATGAACAAATAGGGCTTTATTTACATGCATTTTCAATTAATTACATGTGATTTTAAGCTCATGTAGGCTATGTAACCAAGGTGGACAAAATTACAGCAAGGTAATTCAGATCACCGGACATCAACATGAAGTTAGAATTCGTTTAGCACACGTAAAGTATCATAAATTATTGGGGTTGAAAATATCATCCACAATACAATTCATGCCGTGCGAGATCAGTATCTTGCAAGTTATGCACAAAATATGAATACAAAACAAATAATATTTTCCAAAATGACTATAACCACCAAATTGGCAAAATTAAATAATCAGAGCTGGCTACCGTAATATAAAAGGGATATCAAGGCAAATAAAAAATAAACTGTTACATTTAATTAATATTGAGTATTAATGATAGATTGTAACTGCACCTCAAATGACCAAAACTGCTAATCAAAAGTTGATTTGATTAGCAAAAATTTATGAAAACTGTTTTGCACTGCTAACCAAATGTCGACAGTTATTTTGTTCCCTGGAATCAATGTGTGACAACCCTTGTGGACTATTTAGACAAAATTATCTACAAACGTAGAAAAACCTATATCCTTTATGTACTGCTTTATTGATGAATATGTTTCATTGATCCACAAAACTATCTTAATATTTTTAGTTGCTGTATATGCATATGGCTACTGTTGAAAAAATGGCTATAACAACTGCTGGCTCACCTCTTCAAATCCACTGCAAAAACTTTATGTGTTTAACATTTCTGATCCCAAGAGAACGAGATTGCCATGATGTTTACATAACTTTATCCGAGTTGTCAAAACCAGGTAATTACCATCATTATCTTTTATAAAGAGGCGGGAGGGGGAACAACAATACTCCCTTAAAAGATTTGCTGAGGCTGTACAGGCCGGTATATATCTGTGTTGTCCTCTATCAGTTAGAGGGTTGAACCTACTTACAGTTGTGTACCTTTAAAAATTTTTTGCAGTTTCTGTATCTTTGAGATGACACCCTGGCGCCTTTGAGCATTTTTCAGAATAAGTCTGCCATTACCAAATTCAGTTTTTCGACTATAGCTCAGTGATAACATAATAATATTGGCATCATGTGTTTCCATGATCTATGAAAACAATAAGCCCATTACACATGCGGTCATGTGAATATGCAAATTGGGTGCCACCAGTACACAATTTCTAATTTTGGGCAATAATTACATAAGAACTGGGACAATGACATTAAAAACCAACATATATAAATACTTTTAAATATATTTCTGATACATGGTTCTTAGCAAAATAAATATGTAAATTACATAAATCAGCTTTTACAGTATCTGTTCCCCAACACTACCTTATTTTGTATTGTGGCAGTTGTGAGGTGACAAATCAATTCGAAAACTCTGGAGTAACCATGGGACAACTTTGAATAATGGCAATACTCTACATCTTTATAACATGACGTCACAATATTACAGTTGCAACAAACAGTTTATAACATTTGAACCAAAATAGATCTGTAACAATTCAAAGTTGAAGCTACATGTATGTATGTACTAACAAAGCTGAAGTTGAGTTCCTATGATATGCATATGATATACAATATACTTTATAAGAGAGTGCCACAGATAAATTCCATCTATCATGTCAGTATAACAAAAGAAATATGACACGAGTCTGACAGATAAACACCTTGACATACTTCTACTACATAACCTAGATCTATACTATGCATATGAATCACTTATTAGCTTTGACAAAAGTAGCGGATATTGATATGCAAATACCTATGCAGGTTGTGATATGATAGATAGTCATGGACACTTGACATGCTTTGAGAGTATGTTCACAGATGAAGAACTTATCGCCCCAACAGAACCACTGAGCTGAACAAATTTGACACTTCAAGGAAGGGTTGATGAAAACTGCCGCTTGCTAGATTATCCTATCCATGTTTGCTTTCCTATCTGTTCTTGCATAATATTTACTGTTTAGTGTATCTTTGCTTTAGTGTGTTACATTTAATTTGATCGGGAGACGTGTTCGTCGACGTCAACCGACAACACTGCAAGAATTGGTCGTGGCACTGCAAGAGGAGTGGGTCAGATTGCCCAAATCGTGACTGGACGGTTGATTAGGAGCATGCCTCGACGAATTGCTGAATGTCTGAGGATTGGTGGAGCAATTACTCATTATTAAGACAAAAATCAAAAACGTCCATTTTCACTATTGAGAGTGTATCTCTTTGCAAGTGAAATGGGGCTGTCGGATAAGCCGCCCATATGAACTGTTTATGTTCATGTGTAGACAATTGGCCTGTTATTAACATACACTGGTTACCTCTAATAAAAACAGCAGTCCGTTTCCGCAGTTTTGTATTGTTTCTGAATATCCCCTACTTTTTTTGAAGAGTATATTAAACATACATTATGCAAGAGCTAAATCTGTCTATTGCAGGTCTTTCTTTAGGCCTGAAATTTTATCTAAATTATTAATTAGACATTAATTAACCTATCCAGACCTTAGTCAACTCTAGATGGCATCGCTAACCTGCGATCTTTAGTGGATTATGAACCGATTTACTGCATAACTTTCCTTCACAATTTAACGATTAAATGGATAATCAAGACTATGCTGTTTATCGTACTGACTTTAGTAATGATGATTGAGGCTAGACGGAAATTTCAATCGCTTAGTTCTCGGTTCTAAGTGGATCAATATGAATGAAATTTTCAGCAAATTGCCTTTACATTATCTAGTTTTTAACTATTATAGTGAAAACTGCCAACTCGTTATCAAATCTCCCATAATGTATCTTTAAAGATGTTAACAAAAACAACTGACAGAAATCTTAATACAATATCATACTGAAATATCAATTGGTTTCACGTTACCACTCAACTCTGTTGTACAGTAACCTAATATGCCATAGAAAAAAAGGGAGGGCAAACAGCAACACTCCCTTAAAACCATAAAAGAGTAACAGAGGCTTGACAGACTGGTAGATCGAAGGATGATTCCGGCTGAGAGAGTAGACATAAATAGATATATACTATTCAAAAAAAGTAGGGGATATTTGATTTTGGGGGCATAATACTAAAATATGCAAATGACTACGAAAAAAGTCACTATAGAACCTAACAGAAGAAACATTTCCAGTTACATGTGACGCCCAAACGCACCAATAGCTACCGCATGGAATGCAGGTGATGCTTGGGATCATCATGGGGGTCCAACCCAAGATTTGCACGACTCTGACTTTGAAAGTTACAGTCATTGTGGCATTGAATTCCAGGGTGGAAACATCAGTTTAATTGTTTTAGTGACCAGAAAACAAATTTTGATATGCGTCGGCTTACCCAAAATGAAAGGTTACGTGCCCTTGGCATGCTACAGATCGGCACAACACAGGCGGTTGTGGCGCGGACGATGAATGTTTCTCAGTCTGTCATAAGCAGGCTATGGTCCAGATACCGTGATACACAATCTGTACAGGACAGACCACGCTCAGGTCGACCAAGGGCGACAACTCAAGCCCAGGATCGATTTATCCGTACCTTGGCCTTGAGAAATCGTGTCATCACAGCAAATCAGATCAGCGCTCGTCTTCAAACAGGCACTGGTGTGAGAGTGAGTGGCCAGACGATTCGGAATCGACTGCATAGGGGTCACCTTCGCGCCCGACGTCCTCGCGTGATCCCTTGTTTGAGAGATCATCACATTCAGGCAAGACGTCGTTGGTGTAGGGATCGCCAACACTGGGATAATCGACGCTGGAGCAATGTGATGTTTTCAGATGAGTCAAGGTTCACTGTTGATTTTTTGGACAGACGTAGTAGGGTGTGGCGTCGTCGAAACGAGCGCTTCCAAGACGTTAACGTCCTCAGACATGATCGATTTGGGGGTGGTTCTGTTATGGTGTGGGGAGGCATCACTGTTGCTGGAAGAACGGCTTTACATGTTGTTGCAGGGCGTGTTACAGGCCAGTACTACCGGGACAACATCTTGGCAGTCCATGTTGTGCCGTTCGCACGACGTCATGGCCGCCGTTTCATCTTCCAGGATGACAACGCAAGATGTCACAGGGCCAGGATCGTTACAGGTTACCTCCAACAACAGAACATCACCACATTACCTTGGCCAGCACTGAGTCCCGACCTCTCCCCCATCGAGCATGTCTGGGACATGCTTGGACAGAGGTTACGTCAACGTCAACAACGTCCTGCCAATGTCCAAGAACTTGCTGCTGCGTTGCAACAGGAATGGGACAATCTGGACCAAAATGACCTTAGACGTCTCATTAGGAGTATGCCACGTCGGATCAATGCTTGTTTGGCAAACAGAGGAGGATTTACCCGTTACTGACTTGGTTGTGATGCTGTGGTAACTTTGCTGTTTGACCCCGGGTATCATTTTACCCTTATAATGGTCAGTCTGTGCCTTACTTAGTCTAACGATCATTTGGAATAAATCGATGAATGTGAACTTCATTTCATTTTGTCATTTGTTTCTTCGTCAGTTTCATTAGGTGACTTTAATAACACTTAAAAATCAAATATCCCCTACTTTTTTTGAATAGTATATAAAAATCCTGCTCAACAGTAGTACAGACAGATTTTAAGTAGAAATGAGAGATGGTTTATTTTTTATAATGTTTCGGGTGATAATGATGAATAATCCTGTGCCGTCTTTATACTAGTGGCGTCACAGGATTTTAAAATTTATATCATGTACAAATAACAGAAGATTATTAAAATAAACAGAATAAACCAATAGAGTAATTTGGATGTTTACAATTTTAGATTAGATTATAAATAATTGAATAAATTATAAACCAGTGGTTCCCAGGCAAGATACACTCACATTTTGCAAGAGATGAACAGAGAACACGCTTAAAATAAAAAGAGATTTAACGTAACGTCAGGGGTCATAATCCAGGAAGTTACGATACGATCCGATATGCGCATGGAGCCACGGTGGCTAGGTGGTTAAGACGCTGACTTGCTAGTCTGGAGGTCGGGTGTTCGACCCCTGCAATGGCCGAGAAAGTTCATCCCGATTTTCCGACGTGGTTTCCCCTTGTCAGTGGTGCAGAACGGAGGGCCTGACAAGGACAGCTGTCTAGTCCTTCGGATGATACAAAAAAACGAGGTCCCGTGTATACATTGGAATGCACGTAAAAGATCCCTTGGCAGTTGGAATTCGATATAAGAGTAGGCGATAGTGCCGCTGCCCGGGCAAAATTTCCCTCATAGCACACTGAATGGCGTATGCCCGTCTTCATTATCCCAGTATAGGAGCAGAACAGTAGGGCGTTAAACCCCATTTTATTTCATTTCCGATACACGCAATTATCAAAAGGAACCCAGTTCTTTGGGATATTAACATATATTTTAAATTTCATTGAAATCGGATAAAAAAGTGTGACTCTACAGAGTCCTCAACCTATTTGCGTACAGAGAGTGGCCATTTTGTCTGGCAGTTTTGGTCCGATTTTCATGAAATTCAAACTCAACTGTCATTATGGTCTAACGGAACAACAAGCTAAAATCATGATTTTTCGTACAATCAGGGACCATAATCCAGGAAGTTACGGTCCGATATGCGTAAATATATCGACAGGGACCAAAATCTTTGGAATATAAACATATATGTGAAGATTCATCAAAATCAGATGAAAATTGTGACCTGTAGAGCGTCCACAACCTTGATACTTTAACATAACTTTCGCACACTTTACAGGTCACAATTTTTCGTACAATCAGGAACCATAATCCTGGAAGTTACGATCCGATATGCGCAAATATCGAAAGGAACCATGATCTTTG